TTTCTTATTTAACGCCATCACACGACAAACATTACGCTCTGTGACGTGGCTGCTGGCTTTATAGCACAAACCGGCCAGGTTAATGTGGCGGTAACACCCTGGAATTGTACTCTGTAACCGGTTTCGATTTCGGCTGAGTTACTGGATATAACTGACATGTTTTTCGTGGTTTTACTCAATATATCAATGAAAATACTGCAAAATTAGTCCCAAATTTCAAATAAACAATGACCGCCTACTTTCAGATCCTTACTTTCTCATAATTCATAATATTCAACACAGTTCAATCTACGTAATGAGTTCTTCAGTTTAGACAAGTTTATTACACAATCTAAGAATTAAACGCGTGTTTACAGAACTACGCTAACTGCCTAAGAAAGTAGCCGAGTGGTCTCTTACGTAATCTTCTCACGTTATCCTTCAAAATAGGCCCTTATTACTCCGAAGACCTCCTCATCCTCATACATAATTATCTTCTTATTTCAGCTTAATTAGAATAACGTCCATAGCTTGTACAGCGTCGCGAAAATAGAAGCCCACAAACCTTTTCTATTATTTACATCCGTAGCGCTGCGCGGTGTTAAGTCTAGTAAATTTCAGACAGATCCCTTTATGCATTACACCGGGCGTAGTTGCCTAGTAAACAGCGTTTGCCACAAATCGCTTCATATATTAAACAGTCTGTGGTTGCCTAATGACAAAACAAAGGCTTCATAATAACTTTATGTATTTGAAACCGCGTATTTTCTCTTAGGGAAAAAGGGACGAAGCAGAGAACTATGAACGGACATGTTTCACGTAAAAGAGCAACAGCGGTTTACTACATCTGTTATACAAGAAATAAACTGTCTAGACTTTAATCCACTGACGCTTTGAAGACGTAAAGCGACTAGGAAGATGTGAATCTGGCGATGGGTCCTCACAGTCCCCAAGAATTACGTGCACAATATCAACGAAACATCACACGCGACTTCGAACATAAAATACATTTCTGCGATTTTCCATACTTCATGAGCGGGTAATGCCTTCACAACAAAATTCACGGCAGAACCTTTGGCATAAAGCAACTGCGACGGTCCCTGAGGAAACTCTCTCGTCCTGTTGCCACTGCAAGGGACGGAGGGGTTATGAGCTGGGTTTTATTCAGAGGCTGGGGGCGAAGCTCCAGGCCCCAATCGATCTATGTGGGGTTATAGCACGCTCTCGTTCTATGTGTGCCATAGGATCAGTAGCAAGCACGGCCACAACATTGGAGCGCTATTTCCATACCAACCTCAGTTTCATTCCTACGAGCAATCTGTCGCTGTTGTCCCCACGTCGAATCCAGTCGCTGATTCTTCCTAGCATTAGAAATTGCGTCACAGTATGGAAAATAATTCTTCGTCACCTGTACTACGTTTTTTGATTGCAATGTGAGTTTGCATGCGACAAATGACAGTCATACAGTCGAAAATTAGAGAGAAAGAAATTAAACTCGCAAAAACGCATTAGTTTTTTGTAAGGTCCCCAGGCAATGCCCGCTCGTCCTTCTGGTAATGATAGAGTAAGAGTGAAGTCGTTAGGGCGATAATTAGGGACAGTTTTTGCTAGCACAGACGACGGAAATTTTGAACAGCTTATTAGAAAATGTTGAAGCCATAATTTGGAGAGATAAGCAAATAATTTAGCTGCATCCGCTGTAAAGGGGTAAATTTTGATAAATTTAATAGGGAGGGCTGAACGAGAAGTACTCCCTATTTAAAGTCATCAAAATTTACCGCCTTAAATTCATCCGAAGAAGAGAAGGGGAGGGAGAGGGAGAGAGAGAGAGAGAGAGAGAGAGAGAGGAAGTGGTGGGGGTACCGATAAGCACTACTGCATAAATGGGGGAGCATAAATTTGATTCGACGATACGAAGGTCCCCAGGCAATATGTAATAATTCAGTCCTTACCGCGAAGAAAACACAACTCTTCACCTTTTCAAAGATCGACTGGTTAACGTTGTTCAAGTACATAATATTTCAGAATTCAGTCCGTACCTCGAAGAAAACACAACACTTCACCGTTACAAAGATCAGCTGGTTAACGCTGTTTAAGGAAATAATCGCTGTTTACAGTGAGAATTATACAAAACTAATTATACAAAATGGAGATTTACGGACTATTAAAGAGGCGGTAAGTATAGTTACCTCTCGGATTTAAAGGGTTAAGCATGAGGGTTGGGTCTTCCAATTAAGGCCTATATGAATGTCATGCGAGATGTCCCATGCTGGGCGTGGCATGACGTGCCGGCTAGCTGACGTGGCGACTGGGGGATGCCACCATCTTCTGTGGGCCTTGAAATGGTTCTGTCCCCTTGCTTAAACCCTCCGACGTCTAACATAGAGTTCGCAAACTGTGGTTTAAAAAACCGAGATGGGAAAGGGTTTTCAGTGAGTTTGTTCAATATAGTGTTTAGTGTAATGACCACGCTTGTATTTTTAAAGTAATCCCCCCCCCCTCCGGCGCTAAACACATACAAAGGCCTCATGGGACGACTGTTCTATGTGTTTATTTTTCGGCCGGGAGGGGGGTGCTAATGAACGGTTCATTGAGAAAGCCTTTGCCCTATTTTCCTGCCTACAAATGTTTCATTCAGGGTCTTTCAGTATATACAGGGCTAAGTTTTACTACGTCTAAAGCAAAGTGGGAACTCTCACCTGCTTCAACAACAAATAACAACACGTTTCGCCTACAGTGTATTTGTGTATTTCGTATAAATCTCAGAATGAACAGCTATTATTTCCCTAAACAGCTTTAAAGTACTGATCGTTGTCATAGAGACGAGTTGTGTTCACTTTGAGGTACGGACTGAATTCTTAGATATTACATGAATAAGTTTCTGGCTTCAACGTGTTGAAATGAGAATAAACGGGTGCTCTGTACACTATTATCACATATTACACGTACATGGTGCAAACATTAACGCCGAAACGCCTTTAAATAATGCGAAAAGTAATGATCATGGAATCAGTACTCTAAATACATGGATTAGAATCCCTATTGAGAAGCAGTTGATGGCTTAGTTGGTCAAGATAATCCACTCTCTTTACGGAGACAATGTTCATTATCGTGTTCAAAAGCATTCACCATTGGGAAGGAGCCATTTTGGAATAAATGAGGAGCAGAAATCCTGGTGTGAGAGGAAAAGGGCGAATCTCTCAGAGGATTGCAAGCAGGTTCATTTATTTCACAGTGGGTCTGCTGGTACATGCTCTGAGAAGTGGCTAGAACATTCCCTTTTAACGTTCTAAACAATGCATCGAGGGCCAACAGCGAATTTTCAGACTCCCGCGATTTCGTATTCGAATGTTTTTATGAATTTCAAGCTTGGAATTGCAAAACACAAATGATATCGCGACGCTGAATTCGTGGGACATTATGGCGTCGATATGTATCGATTGTAGACCTCATCCATATGAAGTAACTAATAACATATAAGAACAACGTCCGCACGCCGGGAAAAAAAAAGTTAGGTTAGGTAGGCAAACAGCTGTTAATGAGACTGGAGCTAATTGTTGCGATCATAATCAGTGCTTTCATGATTGTTCGAACTGGTTCTGGGAGACGACAACACGTAGGATGTAAGCTGTATTTCCGAAGTTTCGGAGATTCTTACTATGTCCATCTTCAAGGAGAAGATTACATGCCAGAACGTCATCAAAACATCACACATTTATTCTGTGACAACACACCTAAACATGTTACACATTGGTACTGATATCATAATGAGTGGACATCAGCGTTTCCCATTGGGTACGGATGTGACGTGCTGTTTTTGTATTACATCCCTGAATCAATAAACTCTAGTGAAATGTTTTACTTCTGTTGCTTAAATAATGCAAAACAAATCGAAACCGATACACAAATCCAATACAATTTACGATTTCACCGCGACTTAAAAGTCAAAGGATTAGTAGGAACAGCGCAAACTCTCAGTTAACAACTGTGGTTTCACACAACACAACTCATTTAAACTGATTACATTACACTAAAACGAATTTGCATAAATTAGATCTGCTGTCGAAGTGAGCTGTAAAATTCCGCTGACCCTTTAAAACAGATGTCAAAAACAGCAAACACGTGATCTGTTTCCTGTCCATGCCATAGGCTTAATTTTATTATTGTTTTATAACAGTACAACACGAAATTATGAAATCGCTCGTTAAGACTGACGGAAACATGTAAAACAATGAACAAACAGTCATAGGTATTATCCCATTTGGCTTGAAATCGCTTACTAGCATAAAAAACACACATATTCATAAACATCATCCAATAAGGCTCAAAATCCCTCATCAGAAAATGTTCACAACAACCAAATAGATAAATCGCACGTTATCTGAATTTTCCTTTTGAAGTGTAACAATAATAATTGTTTAACTTTAACTAAATCCAATCGGAATTGTTGAGCAGATGTCTCTAATCGAATTAATGATAAAGTTAAGTTGTACCTAAGATGGGACTTACGACAGATTGAAATCGATGGATCGAACTAGATGCAGCTAGCTCAGGACAAGAGTTCGGTGGCTGGCTTTTGAGAACGCGGTGACGAACCTTCGGGTTCCATAAACAAAGTGGGCTATTCATTGTCAAACCGAGTAGCATTCGACTATCAAAAGAATTTCTTCATCCACAAACACAGCGAGTAAATGAGTCAGTTGGTCTGTACTATTCACCGTTCTTTTCATTAAACCACTTCTAAATTCTCATTTACATCTTCTGCATAAATTAGCCAACATGATCACAAGTCAGAGGATTGCTAATAGAAATAACCACTCAGGTACGGAACCTCATTGTCGACAACGAGTCTGTGATAACAAGTTTAAAATTGAAGCAGAGTTTTTCAACAAAATAACCATCACACAGACATGTATGCATTTACCGAAAGAAAAACACCCTTAAAATGTTTGATTATTGTAAATATAAGACAGATCTAGGTATAATTGAAGGAGTTATTTACGGAATAAAAGTGAGCTTACCAATTGTTGTGATGAGAGTCAGAGAGTACAGGAAGGAGGACGAAAATGACCACCTGTGGTGCTGGTGGTTGTAGTATATCGATCCGCCGTTGGCGGCACCACTGCCGGTCTTGATTATCACACCACCGCCGCCATAAACTCTAAGATTCCTCACGAGCGTGTCTTGAAACTTTAGAACTTCCTGAGCAGCTAGACGCGTCCAATTGTCCTTATAAAGAATGTTCAGGTCCTCTGTTATACTCCACAGTTTCTCGACAGTTCTCGAACGTATTTCTTCACCTAATACTACTGATTTGTCACTAATCGATTTAGAATTCGATGCCGAAGACGACGACGTGGAAGAACTGCCTGACGAAGTGCCTAAATTACTCGAACTAAGATGTGACGTGTCTTTAAACCCGCCTTCGAGTGCCATGAATGTAAACGCGCCTAGGAGGGTGTATCCTACGACAAGGACGCAAACTCCAAGGCTCGAAAAAGCCGAAGATAGAACTGACGAAGGGCAGAAACAGCAACAGCACCAGGACGAGCCTCTTCTCCGCCGCGGACGACTATTTCCGTTGTTGCAACAGATCCCTCGCCGGAGATTACAGCAGCCTCTGGTCGAGGATGCTGATGATGGTGACGATGGGGGTGAAGGGGGTGTGGGGTGGTGGGTGTGGTGAGAATGTGGGGGGTGTTTGTACGAGGGTTGGTGGTATGCTTGCTGGTAAGGGTGCTGGTGATGGTACTCGCTGTAGGGCGGAGTCGAAGGGGACCCAGAGCTGCCACGGCCTTCTGGTATCATTGTGGCGCACGACGAAACCTCTACCTGCAACAGAGATGCATACAGTCGTGTTATTTTATGGGTGCCGCCGAGTCGTGACTGCGCAGAAACTTGGCTGAGTCCACTGACATAAAACCATCAATTAAGTGGCAGTAGAGGTCATTTTGGTGCTAAAACATTTAACATCTTATCATTTAATAATCGCCAAAGGATATATAGTGACATTTTTACCATGTGTTATCCTGTTATTGATATCTGAGTTAACTGTATCTCCTCCCACCTTAATTCTTTTTAAAACATATTTTATAATCATTGTTATCCTTTAAAATCCAGTGGTAACTGTATGTACGGCCTGTTTAAACAATCAATAATTCCGAACAAATCATGATTGGACTCCCTACAATTTTCTAAACACTAGAGCAGAGCGCTCCTTTCGGAGCTCCTCGGGGGGTTGGTCAAGTTTTTAAAACGCAACCAACCCCCCTTCAAGGGTGTTGGTTGCTTTTTAATATCTTGAGTATGAAACTAAACCAACCCCCAGAATGGGGGGTTAAAACACTTGACCAACGCAATCAACCCCCCTTCGGAGGGTTGATTGCGTTTTAAAATCCTGAGTTCGGGGGGGGGGTTAGTTTAGTGTCTTACTCATATAATTTGTTTGCTCGGCATTGTTGTGTTGGTACTACAATGCCCAGTAAACAAATATTAACGTGACATTGTTTGATGACGTCATTTTTTGATAGACGAAAAATCACAAATTTTTATAGTAGAAGATAGAAACAGCGATTTATAACCAGTTCATTGTTGTCAAAGAGATATAAGAGTGTTTTGTTTGCGGTAAGAAATGCATGTTTAAATATTACTTAGACGAGCTTTGGCTTCAGAGGGTTAAAATAGCTTACATTTTATTGCAAGAAGAAAAATATTAGAACACTACCAAACGTACAACAATGCTTGTATATTGAAATTTTACAAGTTAATGTGTTTGTAAGCGATGGAATTTTGCGATACATCTAAGAGCCTGCAGCTACCTAACTACCTCAGACATATTTTCTGGCGCAAATTCAAAGCAAACAAAATACATAAAGAGGTTTAATTAAATGTTATATAATGCCCTGTAAACCATATAACAATGGCGGTGTCTGACGGTCTGCGATTCTGATAAATGTAGGGCATTAAATTAAGGAAATGAGGTTTCTAAGACATGTTGGTGCAGTAAGATTATCAGATAGATAATGAAATGAACGTAAGATAAACGTGGCTAATTACGAGTACAGATAATCTAGATTATTCATTAAGGAAGATTAGCTTAAAACATTACGGGCATGGGAGAACATCGTTAAATTACATAATCAAAGGGAATTTCTTTTCAAAGAACTCGAAAGAAATGGACGCGGGATAGAAAGGGCAAGTCAAAGGAACCAACAGACCAACAAAGCTGCTGGTAATTAAGGCGATTAAACTAATAAAAGTCAGGGTTCAAAACTAAAGTCTTGGTGAGGATATGACACGTCAGCGCCACTGATGAAATAACAGGGAAAAAAAGGTTCTTACCTCCTTCCGTATTTAGAACACGAATTAACAAGTAAGCGAAATTCAAAGTTTGTTTCGTACATTGTAAGTCAGTGTTATCAGTTAAGGCCTGTGTGTGTCTTATCGTTGTTTGAATAACAAAGAGGTACTATAACATTTTACTATAACAAACATTTTCATTTCTGGAGCTGAGCCCTGCGAAGCTGATAGTCGCTAGGCTAGTCAATAAATTCTCTGCCTTTTAAAGGAACGAGAAATGTTATAACCGTGTTTAGAGCAGCTTCCTTATATACGATTTCTGATTATTTGTAAAAAAAATATTATTAGTAGGAATTTTTTGTCCTTTGAGTCCTAAGGGTGAAGTATTCTTCAGCGAAGAGAAGAAAAATTTTGGACCACACCGAGATACAAAATGGGTAAACAAAAAAGGCTGTAAACTGACAACAGTAAAGTTCTCTTAATCTATTCGGGAATGTTCAAGTGACAATTTCATTTGTCGTTCCGGAATTTGATTTTTTTTTTTTTTTTTTTTTTTTTTTTTTTTTTTGTATTTTCTGAAATTCTGTAAAAACGTCCACCATGAATTTGTGTTAGTTGAAGAAAATTCGTCGATGTAATTGCGATTTCACAAACGAAAGATAAACGTGGGTTTACATTTCAAAAGATACGTTGTTAGCGTATATTAAAGGCTTTACTTTGAAGTTGTACATCGAGCTATTTTACAAAATTTAAATGAAATGTCTCCCTTTTAACTTCATAAATACATTAATCATCAAAGTCAACTTGTGTAGTCCCCACCAAAGACGAGATTAAAAAAGCTTGCTACGAAATATATCACCACACATTTGTTCTTCTTCAGCAATGATCTATCATCACTTAATAAGCACCTGCTTATCTTCATAATCATCATCCAAGAACTGAGTGAGTCAGCGAACCAACCTGTCAGCGTTAAATGTTAATTATTTTAACTCTGAAGAAGGCAGTAGTTGTTTAGAAACACTTGGACGTTTTTATCTTTCTAACACGCATTTTGAAGGTGACTGATAAGAATCTAATCTATTCTGAAATATATTCGTATCGGCTTGCTTAATTTCTTCCATATCCGATAGTTAAGACACAGACGTCTCCAATTAGCTGAAGTATTCAGCGTCTGAACTACGTTTATTTCATGAAACTTTGAAGACAGATTGGGGTTCAAAACCAGAAACCCAATATATAATTGAAATACACACCTGTTAACGTCTAATAAAGATTTTTGGTTTCAGATAGATCCGGATCGGTCAGAAGCATAGCAAAGAACTGGTTCTGTCGATCGCGTAGAGTTAGACGCTCCCTGGCGAGACATTTATTAACTACAACCCATCGGGAAGAAATAAAAGCATGTCATGGTTTCTTAAAGGAAAGGTGGGTCTTGATAGGATGTACTTCGGGCCATGACTCGCTGTGACGCTCGCTTTTTCAAGGAGTCGAATCGATAATGCGACTCTGGTGACGTCACAGAACCGCTACTACAGCGAAATTCATGAGACGGGCTCCTTTGAGAGCAACAGCGCCATATGTGACCAAATGGTTGAGATACAAACATTTCAGAGGAACATACTGTCTCCATATTCAGGGCTGAATATTAATTTGTTTACTTAACAACGCTGCCAGTAGCATAGACCAGTGGTATTCAACCTTTTTTGTTCGCGTACCCCTCAGATATAATTTCTCTTCAACTTTGTACCCCCAAAGTTGTCGGTGTATAATTCAAGTTATACATAGTATATAATCTACATCTAAAATAAATTAAATAAATCACATTACTGATTATACAGTGTTTATCATAAAATAATATTTTTTTTAAATTTCACGTACCCCCTAAGATGTCTTCGCGTACCCACGGGGGGACGCGGACCCCAGGCTGAATACCACTGGTATAGACGATATAGCGTCAAATAACAGGGTCATTAATGAATAATGAATTGGAATAATACAGAAAGAAATGGTCGTTGTCTGATTTCAGGCACTGTCAAGGCATTTTCCTGGAGGGACTGAGAAAAATCACGAAAAGCCTCAGTCAATAAAACCAGTCACCGGGCCGAGATTCGAGAAAAAAACCCTACCGAATATGAAGTAGGAGTGATAACCGATAGGCTGCGACGTTTGGTTCATGACTGAAGTCCTGAAGATGGAAGCATTATGTCGCTCCGAAACGTTGGTATGTATCTACAAATCTACACGGCGTTAGGATGTTCACAAATACCTTCACCGCCCTGGGCACCTCAAATCTGGTGTAATTAATTATGTGCCGCTCCAAGGCTTTGTAATATAATTAAACCAGGTGGAAACTTCATTTATATAACAGCACAAAAACATGGCGCCTTGCGTTCGAGGAGGCCTGCGAAAAAAAAAACCAACAACGGAAATTTACAGTCAAGTTATCAGCTGATTCACTGCTCAAACGATTCCGTATTTCACGCAAACACGCAATCCGGCGAGTTTATTTTATTCTTGTGGAGTCAGAGCGGGGTTAGGGAAGGGGAAGGGGGAGGTTGCCCTCGGAGTGAGACGTCTTTTGTCAAGAAATAAGAGTGGATTCGAAAACAGGTAAATAACATCACGCAAAGCGCCCATCATTTGTTCCTCTCTCAAAGGAAGAGAGTGAGGGGGGGGGGGGGGGCTTGCTGTGCCAGGTGAAATTCCTTTCTCGATTCCCAGATTTGAAACATGGTCGCAGCTAAAATATGTACATTCGAACGAAATTTATTTTGCGGCATTTCCGGCTTATAATTTGGCTTCTCGCGAAATTGTGGGAGACGCCGAAGCATCAAAGAGAAATATTCACGGCATAGAAGCGAGAGACGGATTGGAAGAAGAAGAAGAAGAAGAAGGTCTAAGAGACAGACAGGGAAAAGAGAAATTGGATGTAGATTCGGAGGGAGAGAGAGAAACAGTCTGAAGAAAGAAGAATGCGGACAAAAACGGACGGAGAGAAGGAGAAGCCATTTAATTTAAAACTGAAATGTGAGATACGAGGGCTGTAAAGTG